ATATATATATATATATATCTCGAGTACTCGGATAATAAAGTATCTCAACAACGAGTAATATCACATTGGGCATCCGCCCAATACTCAGGTCAAATAGTTTGTAATATTATTATTCTCTAGGGTAAAGCATATCCCCGTGTAAAATCGGCATGATAGGTATATAGATTTCTACAAAATCTACATGGAAACAAAAGCATATGTTCACCGAACTCTTTTATATATATATATATATATCTCGAGTACTCGGATAATAAAGTATCTCAACAACGAGTAATATCACATTGGGCATCCGCCCAATACTCAGGTCAAATAGTTTGTAATATTATTATTCTCTAGGGTAAAGCATATCCCCGTGTAAAATCGGCATGATAGGTATATAGATTTCTACAAAATCTACATGGAAACAAAAGCATATGTTCACCGAACTCTTTTATCTCAACAACGAGTAATATCACATTGGGCATCCGCCCAATACTCAGGTCAAATAGTTTGTAATATTATTATTCTCTAGGGTAAAGCATATCCCCGTGTAAAATCGGCATGATAGGTATATAGATTTCTACAAAATCTACATGGAAACAAAAGCATATGTTCACCGAACTCTTTTGCACGCTCATGCGGATAAACAAGTATTATAGGTTCATCGACCTCTTCGCATGCTCGTGCGGATAAACAACTATCATAGGTTCATTGACCTCTTCGCACGCTCATGCGGATAAACAACTATCATAGGTTCATTAACCTCTTCGCACGTTCATGTGGATAAACAACTATCCTAGGTTCACTGACCTTTGGATACCCTCGTACGAGAATAAAATGTGTAATGGAGTGAAACTCATCGTGGTATCATTTGCGGTGTATTAACTCACTACTCAATTGCAGATAAACTAAAACTCATCATAATCCCTTTGGGATACTCAAATTCATAGTACAACATGTTCATGACTGTAGTGTAACATCCAATGAATCATACTCCGAAATCTCACCTCAACAATGGCGTAAAAACAGACTCAAGAAAACAATTCAAAACTGGGCAAATGTTGCCCAGAAAGTGGTCGGGACTACTGTTAGTAAAATGAGCATATCGTTTTCTAGGAATATTATTTTTAGAAATGGTTTTCTGTTTTGAAAACTAGATTCACACATCTTTCAATTGGCACTACTTTGGTTTAGTTTGGAGTTAAATTTCTATGCCCAGTTTTCAGTTGAAGATCATACACGTGCAGCAGTTTTTTGCAGAACATGTCATTAATAAAAAGAGTATATCTTTCACTATACAAACTCTTTTTAAGAATAAGTTTCTGTTTTAGAAACTAGATTCATATATCTTTCATTTGGAACTAGTTTAATTCAATTTGGAGTTAATTTTCTATATCCAATTTTTAGTTAAAGATGAAACTCATGCAGCAGTTTTCTGCAGAATATAGATACCACTAGTAGATCTCTTTAATTTCTTATATATAAACGAAATTGATTATTAAAGTGTGATATAATTACACATGAAAAGAGATGTAATTCATCTTAAAACTTGATTTCAATCCTAGATATCACAACCTTAGGTTTTAGCATGATTAGTTTATAAGAAGAACTCAAAATAATTAAATAAACTAGGATTTTTACATGTTAAAACTTAGTTTACAATTTTAAAACAAAATTTATATTAATCCTAATGATCATGATCATAAACCTAATTCCAACAGTAATTAAACAAAATATTCAGTTCTAGCATTGGATCAAAATTATCATCGGAAATCTAATTTATTTTAACATAGCAGTTAATCATAGCAGTTAAAGCTCAGGCATAAAAATCTCATTTATTAAACTTCTTATAATTTCAACTAATTATGGGGAAATGTTTGGATGAGGGTAGTCTTACCTCGATGTCGCTGAAAATCCCCAAGCAAACGTTCGTGCAATATCCCTCCTTGCTGCAAACCGCTATCCCCCTTCTTCTCTAAAAAATTAATTGCACAAGGAACACTCCCTTGTTTCCTCTTCTTCAATGTCAGAAACAATACAAAAGTTGTAGGAATATTTTGAGAGGAGGAAGGGAGGCTTTGTATAGAGTTTGGAAGTTGGTAAAGAGGCTTGGAGTTGTTTCTCTTTGATAGAGATTTCTTTGAAGAAGTGGAGTCTTTGATTAAGAAATTGGGAACTGATACTCTCAGTATCAGGTTCTTCTTTGTTTTTGAGAGAAGAAACATGAAGAGGAAATCATGCATTTAATTTTGGATTTTGATAGTACAATTAATCAGTTCTTTTAAGTTAATGAGAGGTGTCGCGCAATGCCGAAAGCATCGAAAAAACGCCAGAAGCAGAAACCCGCACACTACAGCTACAGTAATTTCTGGTCAATTCAAGCTAAAACTGGTGATTCCTGGATGTGGAAACAGATTTTAAAAATCAGGAATAAAGCTCAGGATATATTTGGGGGTACTGATAATTTGAAGCTGAAACTTCAGTCTTGTTGCAGGAATTCTAAAATCAAAGTTTCGGCTCTATACAATGTTATTTCCCCTGCATCTTCTATTGTGACTTGGCATAATACAATATGGGAGTCCATCAATATTCTCAGGCATTCTTTTATCTGTTGGTTAGCAGTCCATAATCGGCTGCTTACTCAAGATAGATTACTTAATATGGGGATAATGACTGTTAATAGTTGTTGCTTTTGTTCTGGTCATGAAAGCAGAGATCACCTCTTCTTTGAGTGTGCCTTTTCAAAGGATGTCTGGGTTTTGGTTATGGAATGACTGCAATACAAGTGGAAAGCTTGTAATTGGGGGCAAATTTCGAATTGGTACTACTTCAGGTTGAGAGGAAAGGGTTTCAAACAAAGGATAAAAAGAATGGCTTTAGTCTCTACAATATATTGCATATGGTTGGAGAGGAATGCTAGAATTTTCAGATTGCGGATGAAGTCTGCAGTTCAAGTGTTCAAAGAGATTAAATTTAGTATCCTATCAATAATTCTTAATGGTTCTTTCTCGAGAGAGAACAAAGATTGGTTGTGTTCTTTGTAGTTGAAGACTTGATGATGATTGTACTTCTCAGCTGCTGAGAATTGTGAAGCGCTGATTCAAATTTGGAAATGAATAAAATTCTTCATTTACCAAAAAAAAAAAAAAAATTCTGTCACAGTGTTTCTGCTTCAGAAAATTTGCTACAGTAATCGGGATACTGTTCAACCGAAAAAATGGAGGGTTATTTTCTGTGCATGATCTGTTTAGTATATTGGTTGTAACTTTCTTATCCGACCTCGGAATGAGGTGATTTAAGATTTATTGAAAATCTGTTGAAGAGACCTATAACTTTAATCTTTTGAGTTTTTCCAAATTCTAACTGCATCAGTGTGTAAAATACCTAAACTCTTAACTGGTCACGTGCGTGATTTGTGCATTTGCACTCGTATATTCATGTATATACATTGAATTGATTTCAAATAAATTCATAGCATTCTCAAATATTAAAATATGATATTTATTTTCATAAAACATATTTATTATTATTTATCATAAATAGTCAAATTTTCGGGGTTTTAGAAGTATTCAAAGAAAGCTCTGCGGATGCCAATAGGGTCAGAAATATCCACTCCTTGGTGATTAATAGAGACAATGTAGCTAGACTTTTTGTGGAGACAATTGTAGTATTCAAATGTTGCTTTCATGAATTTGAAATTCACGAAAATCAATTAAAAAAAGGAAACTCCACTACAGGAAGAATAGTGCCAATGACAGAATGATGTACCCAAAATACCTATAAAAGGATAAACACAACCATGCAACCAGCTGCATGATCAAAGCACATCATATAAAAGGTAAACACAACCACGCAACCAGCTGAAAGCAGCTGCATGATCAAAGCACATTATATAAAAGGAGAAACACAACCATGCATTATGCAACCAGCTGCATGATCAAAGCATATCATATAAAAGGTAAACATGCCAGCTAAAACCAGCTGCATGATCAAAGCACGTCATATAAAAGGAGAAACACAGCCATGCAACCAGCTGCATGATCAAAAAACATCATATAAAAGGTAAACACAACCATGCAACCAGCTGAAACCGGCTGCATGATCAAAACACATCATATAAAAGGATAAACACAACCATGCAACCAGCTGCATGATCAAAGAATAGTGCCAATGGCATACACGTGTACACCCTCTTCCCAAAAGAAAATCAATTTTAAAAAAAGGAAACTCCACTACAGGAAGAATAATGCCAATGAATGTACCCAAAATACCTATATAAGATATCAATACACAACAATAACACAAGGAACAAACTGAAGACGTAACCATACCCAAAAAAAAAAAGAGGATGAGCTCCATGAAAGCCATTGCACCTTATTTGGGCATGATTGTAAGCCAATTAGCTTATGGAGGAGCCAACATTTTAGGCAAGCTTGCCATAGAGCGAGGACTCAGCTACCCCGTCCTCATCGTCTATCGCCATCTCATCGCCATGACAATCTTTGGTCCCCTCTCCTATGTTCTTGAAAGGTCAGACCATCGATACAAAAGATTATTTTTAAAGATTATTTTTTCCCATCTGATACCCTGATGTTTAGGAAATTGAACTTTTGTGTCTTTTTCTGTTGATCAAACACTGGCTCATATATAGGAATCAAAGGCCACCTCTTTCATTGTCGATACTCATGAAGATCTTCGTCCTCACATTGTTTGGAGCAACGATACATCTGAATGTATTCTATTTAGGGCTTGATTATACACCCCCAACTGCGGCAAGTGCTTTGAGCTGTGCAATTCCTGCTCTTACTTTTACCCTGGCAGTATTATTTAGGTGAGCTCATATACATAAGCATATCAAGATAGTTCGCACACATTATTCATAATTAAAATAATCACATGATTTTTAATCAAATTAAGAAAAAGTATGCACATAAATTTATTGAGATTGGTTTATAGAATTTTCATTTTTCTTCTTACCAGGATGGAAGAGGTCAAGATTAAAAATGCAAAGGGGAGAGCAAAGATAATAGGAGCTTTAGTTTGCATTACTGGAGCTCTTTTATTTACTTTTTGGCAAGGCCCTCTCCTCCTAGGATTTGTTAAGAGACCTTTGTTTATAGTTCAAGGAAAAAACTTTGGCCACGGATCAAAACATTATAAAGATGATTGGATCAAAGGTTCCGTTCTTATATTCATTGCCAATGCCACATTTAGTGTATGGTTCATTCTTCAGGTTAGTCTCCTTCAAATGTGCTGCTATGATCCTTCTCAACATTGCATACTCCGGTTAAAGAGCTTACAAAGATTGAACAAATAAGCTTTGATGATTCTTCTACAGGCAAAGGTTTATGAGGTTTATCCAGCAACATTATCGATGAACGCCCTGATCTGCTTCTTCGCATCCCTTCAGTCTGCAACACTCGCCCTCATCTTTGACAGAAATGCATCTTCTTGGAAATTAGAATGGAACATACAACTTATAACAATCATATACTCAGTATATAACTTTATCCTCTCATTTATTAATAGAAAACCTTATTGATTCTCGAAAGTTATGGTTTTGTGCAGGGAATTGTGATATCTGGCCTTTCATATTACTTGCAAACTTCTTGTATCAGCAAGAGAGGACCAGTATTTGCTGCTATGTTCTCTCCACTAAACCTTGTTCTAGTGGCACTCTTCTCTGCTTTCTTTTTCGCTGAAAGACTTCATTTGAGCAGGTATGCAGGAAGAGAGAGAGAGAGAGAGAGAGAGAGAGAGAGAGGAAAATAACCGATTCTTTGTGAATAAGTTGATCCTGGTTTAGCAATTCTAGTAAATAACATACTACATAACGTAAAATTATTTTGTTTATAGATGTTTTGTATATGCGAACGATATCAAATTAACGATGTAATGGATTTTTATAGCTTGATTGGAGCTTTCGCCATAATTTCGGGACTTTACATGGTACTGTGGGGGAAAAGCAAAGACCGTGACGGCAAAGAATCTGATGAAGAATTGCAGATAAGGTTTTTATCATCAAGCACTGAATGCAATCCTAAGTAATGTATTTCGGACACATCTATTTCCTCATCAAGGTTCTAAAGGGAGTCTTTTTCTTCGTATTTCTTTTTTTCCTTTTCGAAGATAAATGTAATCTTTTGTTCTCATGCAAAGTTTGTCAGGCAATATTGTGCTCCGTAGTTGCCAATGTAGCCATGCAAAAGAATTGTTATCTCAACTCCTAAAACAATTTAAATTCTGAGATTGACAAAATTTGAACCTGTATTGACGAAAGTTGAATTAGAATTCATATGTAAATTGATTCAAACTTCCCTCATTTTCATCTAAAAAGTCTAATATTAGAAGATTGATTGAGTTTCATAATTAATTTAAAAAATGCAAATGATTTAAATCTGCGTTTTCCCTATAATCAACAAGCTAATTTCATCTCCTTCACACAATCCAGAAGTATCACCATTTTCTTAAATATATTAGTGACACTCATATAATGCACATGCTTTGCACATTGTGGGCTTCTTTGTTTCGTTTAATGTTTTAAATTTTTATTTATTGACTTCATAATGGTGAAGTGCTTTTATAATAATATAAATCCTTATATTCAACAATTAAAATTTTGATAAAATAAATGAAATTGTATTATGATTTGGTGGTAATGGACAAAATTATGGATTAGAGTCCAAAAATTCAAAATTTTGGAGTATTTATAAAATATTTTATGCGGGACAAAATTTTATGATTTGACAAGAGAAGGCAAAATTTGGGTCATAGTTGATACAAATTCAGGAATTTTGAAATATGCATAAAATATTCTTTGCTAGATGACGATTCTTGATTTGGCCGAAATTAGCCAAAATCATGGGTAATCCAAAAAAATTCAGGATTTTAGAGTATTCATAAGATATTCTATGCAGAAGATCTCAACAATGAGTCATGGTCACTTTTGGCATCCACCAAACACTCAGATAAAAATCCTTTTGTAATATTATTGTGCCCTGTGTAAAACAACAGGATAGGAATATCGATTCCTACACAATCTATACGGAAACAAAGACATAGGTTCACTGACCTCAGCACACGCTCTGGCGGGTAACTAAACATAGATTCAAAGACCCCAGCGCACTATCATGCAGATAATAAACATAGGTCCATCGACCCCATCGTACTATCATGCGGATAATAAACACAGGTCTATTGACCCCAGCGCACTATCATGCGGATAAATAAGTGTCATAGGCTCATCGACCTCTTCGCACGCTCGTGCGGATAAACAAGTGTCATAGGTTCATCGACCTCTTCGCACGCTCGTACGGATAAACGAATGTCATAGGTTCATCGACCTCTTCGTACGCTCGTGCGGATAAACAAATATGTGTAGTGGAGTGAAATTCATCACGGTCTCATTTTCGATGTACTAATTCACTAACCCAAAAGTGTAATCGTAACAATATTTTATCATAATCCACTAGGAATACTCATATAAGTATTACAACATATTTATGACTATAAGTGTAACAATCGGGCGGCTCAAACTCCACAAACACCTCTCAAAACAGAGCAAACAAACTCCAGAAAATAAGAAACTGAGTCAAACTACCCAAGAAAAGGTTGGCGCTACTATTAGTAAAACGAGTATATCTTTTTCTAGGAAAACTATTTTTAGGAATAGTTTTTCTTTTGAAAACTAGGTTCATACATATTTCAATAGGTACTAGTTTGGTTAAATTTGTAATTCATTTGCTATGCCAAGCTTTCTGTTGAACTTCATACACGTACAGCAGTTTTACTGCAGGACGTGTCATTAGTAAAAAGACTATATCTTTCTCTATACAAACTCTTTCTAAGCTTGGTTTTCTATTTTAGAAACTAGATTCACATATCTTTCATTTGGCACTATTTTAGTTCAATTTAGAGTTCATTTATTATTTTAAATTTTCAGTTTAATATCATATACCTGCTACTGTTTTTTGCAGAACATGTTGTTAGCGGCCAAATGATCATGTCTTTCTCTTGAATTCACACGTAACTATCAAAGTGATTAATTACACATGACAAGATCTACACAAATAACAGAGAAAATATTTTATTTAATCAGATTCTCATTTATTTAGGAAAAACACAAACCTATGATTTAAGCATTGTTACTAAACATGCGAAAAATAATCAATTATTCCTCTAAGATTTCAACATGATTTAAATATGATTAATAAACAAAATAAATTCCAAATTTCCTAATGATCATGATCATAAATCTAATAGCAACATTAAGAAAAACAGTATTTTCAGTTTTAGCATTTGATTAAAATTTATCATCAAAATCTAACTTGTTTTAACATGATAGATTAAGCTCAAGCATGAGAATCTCATCTTTAAACTTCTTATAATTTTAACTAATTACTGGGAAGGTTTGGGTAGGAGATAATCTTGCCTCGATGCTACCGATATTCTCAAACAAATGATTGCGCGAGAATTCCCTTCACTCCGGTCGCTAGCCTCCGCTTCCTCTCCACAAATGTCACAGAAAACACTATGTTTCTCTTCTACTCTTTGTGAGTTTTGTGTGTTTTAGAAGAGAGGAAGTGAGAGGTATTTATAGAGAAGTTAGAGGGACATAGAGCCTAAAACAAGGAGTAGTGGTGGAGGGAAACATGGAGTAGTGGTGGAGGGAAACATGGAGTAGTTTATGGGAGTAATTTGTGGGATGTTGCTTAGTGGAGGAAAGATGAAGAAAATTATCTTTTTCTTTACATTATTCTAACAAAGAAATCCGACTATTTTCTGTTCATTTTTCTGTGTTAAGTATATTGGCTGTAACTTTTTCACCCGACATCGGAATGAGGTAATTTAAGATTTGTTGAAAAGCTGCTGAAGAGACCTACAAATTTGGTCTTTTGAGTTTTACAAAATTCGAACTGCATCAGTGTGTAAAATATATAAATTTTTAACTAATCATTTCACCAGATATGCATTTGTACTCGTATATTCACAAATATACATTGAATTGATCTCAAGCCAATTCCTATCATACTCAAACATCAAAATATGATGTTTATCACCATATAAAATATTTATTATTATTTGTCATAAAATATTTAAAATTTCAAGGTTTTACATCAATGCATTTTTTAAACTCACAAAAGTGTGTGATAATTTATATTACTTAGGAAGTTCAGTCAATGAAAAGCTAGATAAAATTTGTATAGCATCTATTAAAACCGAGAGGATAATTATAAAAAATAGAATTTTCAACCTTATACTTGGTGAATAAAGTTATTTGAAAGAGATTATGTGAAGTACAACCCACTTCTAGCTCGTTCAGTGCCGCCTAACCTAAGCGGACACTTTGCTATCTGCAATGCTTCGCTAAACCGCGCCAAGTCATGCACTTTAGGCCCATACGTTTTACTTTAATACCATAAAACCGCCGCCTAAGCGGCCGATTTACAGCCTAGGCCCGAGATTGGCGATATTGAAGCGCCCGATATTTCGCTACTTAAAGTGCTCGGGTTGGATTTGGGCTAGACCTCAACTTTGAATCATCTATTCATGGAATAAGGATAACTATGATCTCGTAATCCCGACGGTTGATGAATGGGTAGGTCAATAGTTGTTTTTTCTTTTTTTGTCGGATTTTTGAGCCACAAGCATTTGTATTTTTTTTCTTTATTTCTAGTTTGAAGGGTATTTACTATGTCACGGTATCACTTTACATTGTACTAACTATTCATCTTGGTAATGAAGAATTACCAAATAAAATTTAAGGTATCAAAGTTAAAAGCTGTGTAATCTTTAGAATATCAAAGTATCGGTATAAAATTATGGGATATCAAAGTAAAAAAAAGTGAACTTTTGGATCTCAAAGTGTCAAATGAAGAGTTTGGGTTATCAATGTTAAAAAAAGACAAATTTTAGAATACTAAAGGGCAAATAGTTCTAGTAATTGTTCACATGCTACTCTGCCATACTCTCTCTCTCTCTCTCTCTAAATGCATTCCTGTTGGCCTTCTTGTTTTGATGATGTTTAACAAACAATTTACCACTAATGTTGTTTGTCTAGTATTTGTGTTTTCTTATTTATTATAGACAAGCAACGAGTTGGAGGATGGATGGAATAGAGCCTCAATGATCATATCCAAAGGAGGTTGGCGGAATGTCGGTGAAGCCTTGCAATTCAAGTTAAAGATCAAGTTCAAGCTTCATCCGCAACGTGTACCAAGTCAAGCTTAATTGAAGATCAAGATTGCTTGGGTAATGTAGTTTAGGATTTATATTATGTGTGTTAAGTACTATAAGCTCAATTATCTATACACACACATTTTATTGGTTTCCTTGTATATATATGTAGTCACATATATATACAACACAAGTTTTGGCTTTCATGTTTATAAATATTAAATTACATGTTTCATATTTATTATTGTGATTTGGTTTATCTACTTAGATATGAAACAAATATATTTTCATATACATACTCATAAGTTTCATTTTCTATTGTATTTGTGGAAATATTGTATTCTTAGTTTGTAGACTTCAATATCAGTTTATACATGTTTTACTAAGTCTATAAAAACATTTCACAAAGCTTCAAAAATTGGTTTATGTCAAAACATCAAAATTCAAGTATCTCATATTTTCATGTTTTGGACTATTTTGTAAAATGATGATATTTTTTATTTGGGATGTCCTTTTTGATAACCAGTCGCTGTAGCATGTTTATTATCATGTCTACAATCATTCCCCAAAGTTTTACATTTTTTGGAATTTATTTGATATTTTTTAAACAGTGTTTTAAAATCAACATAACAGTTTTCTGCTGTGTTAGTTTTCGGTCGACCGCACCGGTCGACCGCTCAATTGTTCTTTCGACAGCATGCAGCAGAGAGTTGGTCGGTCGACCGATGCGGTCGACCGAGAGCTCCATCGGTCGCCCGCACTGGTCGACCGAAGACTGTCCAGACTCTGTCGGTCGACCGACAGAATTTTCGGTCAACCGCCAATGTGACCGTTGGACTTCAACGGCTATTTCTCTGAGCTGTTTGCTGGGGCTGTTTTTGTCTTTTGTTTGGGCTTTTTGACTGAGATTTCAATTGGGTATATATACCCTATTGCTGCTCTCTTTCAATTTTAACCAAGATAATTGTTTAAACAAGTTTAAGGGTGTTTTGTGTTTGTTTAAAAGAGTGTTTAAGAGTTTTTTTTATGAAGCAAATTTCACAAGAGCAAGTGGAGATCATCATTTGGTGTTTGAGCATTCACTCTTCTCTCACTCTCTTGTCATCTTTAGAGAAGTGTTTCTAAACTCATCTTTATATATTTGATTAT